AAAGCCTTTGCATAGTCAATGAAGCACAGATAGACATTCTTCTGGTATTCTCTGCTTTCTGCCAAGATCCATCTAACATTAGCTGTAATATCCCTAGTACCATGGCCTCTTCTAAATCCAGCCTGCACATCTGGCAGTTCTCTGTTGACATATTGTTCCAAACATTTTTGGATAATTTTCAGCAGAATCTTGCTTGCTTGTGATATCAATGATAGTGTTTGATAGTTTCGACACTCTTTTGGGTCACCTTTCTTTGGAATGGGAACAAATATCGATCTCTTCCAGTCAGTAGGCCAGCCGTCTGTCCTCCAGATTTCCTGGCACAACTTTGAGCACATCCAGGGCAGTGTCTGTTCATTTGGTATGCTGTCAACTCCTGGGGCCTTGTTTTTTGCCAATTCCTTCAGAGCAACTTTAACTTCCTCCTTCATCACCATAGGCTCTTCTTGTTCATATGTTACTTCATGAAATTCCTCTGTGTCAGCCAATTCCTTCTGATACAGTGACTCTGTGTACTCCTTCCATGTTCTTTTTGTACATCCCGGATCATTCAACATCCAACCCAAACTATCTTTAAGTATTGCCACCTGTGGCTTGAATTTGTTTTTCAACTCCTTCAGTTTAAGAAATGCTGAGCAAGTCCAGCCCTTTTGATTTTCTGCCTCCATCTCTCTGCACATTTCATTATAGTATCTTGCTTTGTCGTCCCAAGCTGCCTTTTGAAATTTTCTGTTCAGTTCTTTGATTTCTTGCTTTAGCTTTGGCTTCTCGGCTCTCTAATGCAATACTCAGAGTCTCATCTGACATCCATCTTGGTTTTTTCTTGTTTTTTCAGGCTTTGTAATGATCCTTTGCATTCTTCATGGACGAGTTTCTTGATATCCTCCCAGAGCTCATTTGATCTACGCTCATTGGTGTTCAGGGCCTCAAACCTCTTCCTGAGATGGTTTTGAAATTCGAGTGAGATAGACTTAAGGTCAAATCTTGGTTCCCATGGACTTGATTTAATTAGAATTAACTTCTGGGTTCATTTTCATTGCTCTGTAGGCACCTACCTGAGGAGCCTTTTTGTTGTTGTGTCTGCCATTAGGACAAACTCACCTCAAAGCTGACCCTCCTGCAGGTTTTCATAGGCTGTAAATTTCACAGGAGCAGAACCACTTACCTTTGTATTGGCAGTGTAACTCCATACCACTAATCACTAGAGTTCCCTGATGAATCACAAAAGTGTCAGGTGTGACAAGGTACAGGATCTAATAAATAGGAAGGTTGTCTCTGTACATGTCTATAGACCATGTTGCTATTGTTATTAGGAGTTTAGTGTGACTCATAGCAACCCTATGAACAACACATCTGAATCCTGCCCTATTCTGTGTGATCTTCACTGTCTCTGATAGACTTGAGCTTGTTGCTGCCAGTCACTATGTCATTCCATCTTGTTGGAAGTCTTCCTCTCTTTCGTCAACCTTCCAGTGTTCCAGGAATGATATTCCTTTCCAAGGAAGAGCCCCTCCTACCACATGCCCACAGTATAGGAGATGAACCTTTTGCCATCCTTACCTCCAAGGAGCGCTCCAGCTGCACCTTTTCCAAAATACGCCTTTTGGTTCTTTGGGCAGTCCATAGGATATTCAGTCCTCTTCTCCAAGAAGTTTCTAACCTCTCTTCAAAGGTGTGTGGGTTTTTCTGGGTCATGGTGCTATTTTCCTTTGTTACAAAGATGATACATTTTGTTGCCTCCACTTTTGTTTCACAGACCTTTTCCCAGGATCATAGATTTGAAAAAAAAAAAAAAGCCAAAGGAAACATTGAATGCTATGTGGTTGTTACTTCAGTTTGGCAAAATATTGTTTAAGTCCCTTGGCAGGTGCCGGAAAGGTTGTATTTGCTGGTAGTAACCAAGTTTTTATGTCTATACTCTCTGCCCAGAACAGTTTGCAGTTTTGAAATATGACAAGAGCGAAATGCTAGATGTTTATGTTTCTGTAGAAGAATTGTATTAAATCATTGGGTCCAGGTTTAATTTATGACTTAATTGTAGCAAATAGAATGTTTTGTCCACTTTGCTAGTTGGTAAGAATAATGACTGAATGAAAACCTATTAACATTTCCTATAGAACAGTTTAGGTAGTAGTACAGTGTTGGTGTGTATATTTGCTTTCTCTTTAGATCTTGTGTTAAATAATTAAACCATCTGTGCTTGTGCATAAACATTTTCCTGGGATTCAGATGGGATTATGAGATATGATATGCTTTTCTGATTATTACGAGGTTATCAGATTGTTTATAATAAAATATTACTCTAGGGGCCTTTTCATGGTCTTAAGAAGGATATCATTCCAGGCTTCAGACTGGCAAATCATGTCCCCTCAGAGGCAAATTGTTTTTTACAAATGTTAGTTTGGTTAATTTAAAGGATCAAATTTCTAAATTAAACGTGCACTTTCTAGGGTAAGATGCTGTTTGTTTATATCTCTATGAAATAAGACTCACTGATTCATTTCCAGGGCTAATTATAATTTTATTTTTGTTTCTAATTATCCTTCATTCTCATCGATTGGAAACATTTCTAGGAAAAGTTTTTAAAGCCCAAAGCTGACCACAAGATACAAGACAATAAATTTATATATAAGGTGAATTAAGGTTAATGAAAGTTACATGTAAGTGTTCAGAATATGAGCATGTATGAAAATATAATTAAGTAGCAAACATTTATTATTGTCAACAAAATTAAATGGTCATATTTGAAACATTTGAGAGATTTCTAAATAGGAATTATGAGCAGAATGTTCAGTTGTATAATCCATCTCACAAACATTTCCTTCTGGAAGAAAAAAAGAATTCAAATCAGTGAATTTCATTTATTTTCCTTCCCAGTGTGCTGTAGGAATGTAGCACATTTGCAACAACAGTGATATCACAAGAATAAAACAAAAGAGAGGATTAAAGGACAGACCACACCGTAATGTTGTTGCTGTTGTTATGTGCTGTTGAGTCTACTATCACTCATAGCGACCCTGTGTGCAGTAGCTCTGAACCCTTTTCTATCCAAGTCAATCTATCTCTGACACACCTACCTAACCTCATAACCCTAGTTATTGTGTCAGTCCATCTCATCCAGGGTCTTTCTCTCATGCCTTCCAAGCATGACGTCCTTCTCCAAAGACTGGTTGCTCCTGGCTACTTGTCTAAAGTATATAAGATAGAGTCTCAGAATCCTTGCCTCCAGGAATAGCTTGGTTTCACCCTCTCCAGGAGAGTAGTAGTATGGTGTTGGTGTGTATATTTGCTTTCTCTTTAGATCTTGTGTTAAATAATTAAACCATCTGTGCTTGTGCATAAACATTTTCCTGGGATTCAGATGGGATTATGAGATATGATATGCTTTTCTGATTATTACGAGGTTATCAGATTGTTTATAATAAAATATTACTCTAGGGGCCTTTTCATGGTCTTAAGAAGGCTTCAGACTGGCAAATCATGTCCCCTCAGAGGCAAATTGTTAGTTCTCTTGGCAGTCCATGGTATGCTCAATACTCTTCTCTAGCACCACAACGTAAAGGCATCGATTCTTCTGTCTTACTTGATTATTGTCCAGCTCTCTGATGCATAGCAAATAATTGCAAAGACAATGGCCTGGATCAGGAGCACCATAGACTCTAGACTGACATCATTGCTCTTCAGCACTCTGGAGAGGTCCCTGACAGCAGATTTTCCTAATACAATTATCTTTTGATTTCCTGACTGCTATTGCCAAAGTGTGTTGATCATGGAATCAAGCAAGCTGAAATTGTTAACAATCTCAGTCTCTTCACCACCTATCATGATGCTGCCAATTGGAATAAATGATTTTAATACTTCACTTCCCCTCTTGAGATTCACAAATTAATATAGATTTGAACCTGAGGGGCAATTGTTGCCCCTCCTCCATTTTTGTTTCCTCCATTTTGTTTCCTCCATTTGCAAGTTTTAAATGACTTTGCTTTAAATCTTATCAGTACTTTTAACACAGAAATATTTCAATGTCAAGTGAGTACAATGTAGATGTTTTCTAATCTAATGTCTGATCATCTTTGCTTTGAATACAAACTATACTCTTACTGGCAGTTGTCATAAACTGGGAAAATACACACTAGTGATTGATCCGTGGCTATAAAGATGTCATTCTTCTGTCTTCATTATTACAGCACCATCCAGTAGAAAACCTGGGGACCCCCTTGTCATTTCAGATATCAAGAAAGGCAGTGTGGCTCACAGGTAAGGAAAATTGATTGTACAGCACACTCCAAGACATGTTTTAAGTAAAGATTCCATCCACATCCAAGGCAAACCTTGCTAATGGATTAGTAGATTCTCATTATTGTAATCCAGGCAGCCACTATTAAGTAGTGAGATTTTGACTCTAAGGTATTTCCCTTTATGTCAATTTATGTCTGCGCCTAATGTGTTTTAGGCTCTCTTTTGAGTCCAGCATAAAATTCTCCTTCACTGATAATCATCTGTCCTTATAGTCACACTTAAAAGTTGAAAGTAGTCCCCAATTATAAAAGGCATGTCACCTTAAAGAGTCTGAGTTTTGTTTAATCTTGAATATGTCTGTCTTGGGCAAACCTGATATTTGACCCTTAAACAATATCCATGTTTCCTGTTTGGTCTGAGGTCCTCAAACTTAGCCTTTTTGGACTAAAGTAAAGGGTCAATGACCATTAACTTTTCCCTCCAATTTCTAAATCTCATCACAACCAAAAGTTTGCAAACTTTTTCATTTCACATTTTAAATAGTAGGGAATAGTGATAGAATATTGTTAACTTTCTTTTTCAAATAAGGGTGTTTTAAAAATCTCGTACATGATCACAATCATTTAATAGTATTTTAGCATTGTCAAGGGAGACGAGCTATACTATGAGTTGATGTATAGACAAAGTACTAGTACAGAGAGACTCATGAGTGGTTCAACTGAGACAGAAGTTGGTTCCTCACATAGCAGTTGGGAGGGAGGCAGGTGCTCCAGGACAGGGGAGTGCCTCTGCCATCTGCATCAGCTGGCTCAAGTCACTGCAGTTTTTCTAACCTGAAATGAGGGGAGAATGAGTAAGCAGACAGATTTAGGGAAGATGCATGTGTTGCTGTTGTTATATACTGTCAAGTTGACAGTGACTCATAGCAACCCTATGAACAACAGCTCTGAACCCTGCCCTATCCTGGACCACTCTCACCATCTCTGACACACCTTCCCCCATTGCCACAGCATATATAATTTCCCAATTCCAACCCAAAACCTATTTCCCTGTTCACAGCTTTCAGCCACAAATGCTAAGACCTCCAGACTGTAGCAATGAGCTCAGGCTTTCACTCAGCTAAAACTTGAGAGTCTGTTACTAGAAGAACAGGAATGAAAACAATGAACTAGCTCTGTCACAGATAAAATATTTAAAGGATGGTTCTCCCCAAAACTTTACAGCTGTTAACCTTTCTTAGAAATATGTGTGTGTTCATACATACGCTGTTTTTAGGTGCTACAGAAACTTTCAGCTTAGAGCGACTATGTTTAACAGAATAGAATTGTCCCATAGAACTTTCTAGACTTGGATATTTCTGGAAATAGATTTCCAGGTCTTCCTCCTACAGAATTGCTGGGTAGCTTTGACCTACCCACCTTTTGGTTACCAGCCAATCGCTTAACCATTGTGCCACACTGTCAAGGATCAAAAGTGGTGCAGCAGTGTGGAGGGTCTTTACAGACTTCAGCCTATTGCCTCCCTCCTTGGGAACATTAGACTTCCTGAACTAAGAAGAAATCCCCTGCCTTCAAGTCGATTCCCACTCATGGTGACGCTCCGTCAGGTACCTGAGGCTGTCAGTCTTAATGAAACAGACTGCCTCGTCTTTCTCCTGTGAAGCAGCTGACGGATTTGGACCATCAGCTTTTGAATAGCAGCCCAACGCAATCCCCTGGGCCACCAGGGGCCCTTAAACTTCCTAAGTAGAACTTACAGGAATATCTTCATTTAATTGAAGAGAGGACAAGAAAAGGGTTTTTAATGAGCTGTAATTTAATGCCACAGCAGTCATCCGAAATAAGACCGGAGGAGGAATGATGGGGAAATGAAAAGGATGGGGTTCTCCATAAAGTGCAGTTTAAAAGCAGTTGAAGAACCTCTTTCCCCTTAAAGACTACCATCCTTCTACGCTGTGCCTAATGCTTCTTTAATGGCCTACTGAAGCTTTCATGAAGCAGTCATGTGCTGCTATGCATTTCCTAACAGAACCGGGACCCTGGAACTGGGGGATAAATTACTTGCAATAGATAACATCCGGCTGGACAACTGTTCCATGGAAGATGCAGTTCAGATCCTCCAGCAGTGTGAAGACCTGGTGAAGCTCAAGATCCGCAAAGATGAAGATAATTCAGGTATTGATAGCATCCTTAGTTAAAATTGATTCTTTTGACTGTCCATCTGCCACAAGTGATATTAAATCTTGCTTTACATACAACAGCTGCTTAGGTGGTGATGCAGCAGTGTTTTGCATAATTAAAGGGGTCTTTAACTTGTGTGTTAAGAATGTAGTACGAATTTCTAATGATGGTGCTTTTAAATAATATAATTATGGTATTTTTCATTGTATAAACATTATTATAACTGCATTGCAATTTGTTTAAAGATAAGAACTAAATCATTACTCAGTAACACCCTAAGATAATAGAATTATACAATTAGTAATTTTCTAATCTTTGTGGGTATTTATATTTCATAATTATAAATAAACCACTATGGTGAAGTGCTTTTTTTACTTAATGTTATAAACATTTCACCATTTTATAAAGTTTTAATATCTTTAATTTCTTATTGACTGCCTATAATTTACATTTTCATCTTAGAGTGCTTCATTTTTTTAAATTTTTCATGATATTACTGTTGTGAATATTATTACGCATTATTGTTTTTATTAGGAGTTTTTCCTTGTGAAAAATTCCTAGCAGTTGGATTGTTGTGCCTGTATGAAAAGAAAAATTTCTCTTTTTTGGTAGCGTGTTGCTGTCAAAAGGACTGTGCCTACTTCTAGTGCCTCTTAATAGCATAGGGCTATAGGAACACAGTGTTTTAGAACTTTTGTGGACCTCAGAATTGCCTGAGGAATTTGTTAAAACACAGATCCTAGGATTTTACTCTAGGATTACTCTAAGGGGGAGCAGGAATGAAGTATTTTTTAGACAACCTCTAAAGGCTACCGCTTCTGTGGTCCAAATACTGTACTCTGTGTAACTTGGAGTAGTGGTGGTGTTGTCGTGTACCATCAAGTCAAAGCCCTTTTATATACATATGTCATAAACACTAATGGCTGACTGTTCTTAAGGCAGAACTGACACCTAGGTGACTCTCCAGGGACTTTATGGAGGCTGTAAGTTGCATGGGAGGAGATTGACCATCTTTCTCCTGTGGAGCTACTAGGGATTTGAACCTCCAGGGAGGGAACCTTTGGGTGAGTAGCACAACCACCTATGGGCTTTGCCACCAGAGTTCCCCATTAAGCAATAATAGTTAACTTTAAAAGTAAGTTAATTGGAAGATCAGTACTATGGGAAATTATAGAAAGATATGAATACTTATTCTTTATAGATGTTGATGATTTCCCATCAAAGTTTTAAATTTTTGTCTGTACATAGTAGACAGTAGATTTTCATCCCCCCAACACTTAAATGAGTCTTTACAAAGCATTTCACTTTATCTTTATAGAACCTACACTGATATTTAAATAACTTGACATTCAGCTACTTAGCTACACTAACAAGAATAAATTGCATACACAGACTTGGGAATAAGTATAATTGACTAGATTTTTAGGCTTACAACTCAAGTTGTAGTAGAAGTGTTCATGGCTACTCGAGAGGGAAACCGTTCACTCTTGAGGGTTCTATGACATTGGCCATAGCACATTTTACTCAGAGGATAGAGAATCACAATTGTTCCAGAAAATTGATTAAAGAAAAACTTAAAAGAGCTTCAAAGATGTATCATTTTACCCCAAGCAACAAAGTATTTTCAAATCTTCTAGCATCTCCATATTCCACATCATCTAGATGGAGAGAGTTCAAGGTCATGTCAGGTGATGTGTTTATGATTCTCATTCAGGGTCAAAACAAGTCTGCAGTTACATTCATCAGTACAGCTGATAACAATGATTGCATCAAAACACACTACTACAGCTGATATTTTAAAATATGCATATGTTTGTACTTATTATTATTTCTCAAGCGACAGATTTTCTGGGCCAACATTTGCATCTCTTTTCTTATGTACTGGCTTCAGATGCACTTTCTTTTTGGGATTTATTTCAAGAGTAGGATGAAGCTTACAGCATCGGTCCGGGTTTTGTCCTAGGAAAGAGGCAAAGCCCTGTGGAGAAACCTATTTTGCATGATTTGCCAAGCTAAGCAGATCTCAGCTACCTTCCTCACAGAATGAAAAAGCCAAGCCAGCGATGAATATGTATGGGAGCACATTTGGCCGTGCTCCCAGCTCCAAAGCCAAGGTTGCAGACAGGCTGGCAGGCCTTTCCAAAGCAACTGAGCACTTGGAGAGTGAGAGCCTGCTTTTCAGTTGCCGATTTCTTTTAGTCGTTTTCTTTTTTCCTTCACACCTTTCTTTCTTTAATTTCTATGTCTAACCTTTTCCTTTTTAAGGGATTCAATTTTTAAAATCCTGAATTTTTGAGTTAAAGATGAATGATATACCTAAAGCAAGACTGTAAAGATAAAAGGTATATGTACTCAAGTCACATGTCAGATTGGTATAGTAAAACATATATTCATTGAATACACATTTTTTAAAAATTGGTTTGCATACAATCATTCATATACATTGTGTTTAACTCATGTACATTGTATTTTATCCAATCATTCATATACATTGTTTTATAACATTCATTAATATTGATCAATGCTTTATATCACCCATCTCAAGTCCCCTTTGCACCTTGCCTGTTCCTCCCCCCTCCTGTATGTGCACTACTTTCTGTGGACCCAGAGATTTCCTCCTCCCTCTTCTTTGACCCCCTTCTTTCCTTTCCCCTCCCCTTTTGAACAGACATGTATATCTTATTTACTAATGCAATCAGTAGCTATATTAGCATGACACCTTTATATAATTTAAAAAAAAGCCAACCCCAAACTCGTCATTGAGCCAGAAATTACTCCTAGCTGACCCTCCAAAAACTTTTCAGAGACTGTAAATTGCATAGAGGAACACTGCCCATTTTTCTTCCTTGGAGCAGCCGGTGAATTTCAACTACCAACCTTTGGGTTGGCAGTGCAACTCCCTACCCACTATGCTGAAATTATTATACGATGATAATTCTTTTGAAGAATTTGGATGATCCTACAACCCCCTTCCCAACAATAGAAGAGTACAATTTGAGTGTCTGAACTGTTTTATATTCCAAATAAAGCAAGGAAAAAAGTATTGCTCAAAATGTTAAATGTGAGGACAGATTCATTTAAAGTAGTGTATCTTTTTATAGAAAGTATACACTTTTTAAATTACAGCTCTACCTCATTGGAGCCAGGCAGTTTGAATAAATTAGTTAAGCTGCCAGAGATTTGCTTCCATCTTCCATAATGTGCAAAGAATATCACCTACCGCAGACAGTTACTTTTAACCTGTAACTTGCTGGAAATTGACACTGTCAGTATTCAAGATGTAGGGGCTACATTTACTAGTATTATTACATCCTAATAAGCCTTTCCCTAGATCTTTTCAGTCTTTAATCAAGTTATAGCTGAATGGCAACTCAATATTAATCATTATAACAGTCACTGATTTTGGAAGTTTGAGTTTATCCTTAATCTGAAATAATGCTGGTGAGTTGATCTGTCACACTGAGTTGTTGCCTGCCTTAGCCTCAGTATTTTAGAATAGTAATATTCATGTGTGTTCTCCTGAAATGTTGCTCATTGGGTTTTCTGTAATTCAGTTCTTTCTATAACCATTTGCTCTTCACTATTCTTCGGTGGTGATTATCATCCATTTCAGAAAGCTTATAATCACAGTTGATGTAACTTGGTTTACTCAGCTAGCAAAATCCTGCAATTAGGTTTAACTGATAGTCCTTCAAAATGTGAGAATTTCTTCCAGCTACACTAGTCTCATTGCTTTCCCATGAACCTTACCCACGGTTCATGCTAAAACCACTCCCAGGCACTGCCAAAGTCTTTGTTTTTCATTCATCTGAATTTACTTAGAGTCTATGAGTTGCTGAGTTCTGTGCCAAGAGTGCCAGTTCCGAGTTGGAAAAGAGAAACTAAAGAAAAGTCATAATTACTGGTATGCTGACTGCTCCTGGGGTATGTCTTAAGTTGTAAAGATAACGTGGAGGAATCCAATTCACCTCAGGGAAATGTTTCTACAGTTTCATCCTGCAAGGTGCTGAAACTTAGCTGCCCGTCATTGTTAAGAAGGAGCCTGCTCGTAGCTGACCCTTCATTGGGTTTCTGAGGCTATACCCTACACAGGAGTTGTTTGTCCATCTGTCCTCCTCAGAGCCAGTGGTGGATTCGAACTGCCAGAGAGGTGCATCTTTGGAGTTAGCAGCACAACTCTGAAGGGTCTATGGATTAGACACTGTTATTATATGCTCTGGAGTCAATTCCACCTCGTCATTACCATATAGGACAGAGAATTGCCTTACAGATTTTTCCCTAGGTTATAATCTTAATGGGAGCAGCCACTGGTGGGTTTGAATTGCCGACCTTTGGTTAACAATTGAGTGCTTAACTGCTACTGTACTACCACTCCCCTTAGCTAGCTAGTTGTAAGACCAATTTTTTAAAAGAAATGAAACCCAATTAAAATTCTACCTTTCAACACTCAGCAACTCATTGGAGCTGGAATATTCTGAGATAAGTAGGTAAAGTGAGTGCGCAGTAGGAGGAAAGCTTTTGGGGTGTGGTTCTCAAAGTTTTATATTATTAAGCCTAACTCCAAGAAATGTAGCCATACCCAGAAATTCATTCCATCACTTGTAGCTAGAATGAACTTTGGTTGACCTGCATGTTTATGCTTTCCAAAGGCTTGCTCCCAAATACTAGCCTCCGATTTGGCCATAGACACAGCTGCCAGTGTGGAATCAAGCCAGACAGTTTTCATTTTGTTAACCAGGCGGCACTCAAGAAGCCTGAAAATAACATTGCAGATAAGTAATGCTGCAATTTTGCATCTGTTCCGTGGTCCCATTAATTTTCTTAACTAGAGCTGAGCAGAACAAACAAGTAGGCTGGCCCCTTTCACGACTTTCACTAATAGTTGTAAACCTTCTGTTGTGATGGAAAAGCTGTGTATAATATCATGAACATCTGTTTGGGCTCGCTTTGAAACGTGTTGGTGAGCCTGTGTTTCTTCTTCTTCTGGAAAGTTT